GTCGCTCCCAGGCCCATGGGGCTGCTGAGCGGGAGCAGCCCCAGCCGTCAAGCTCCTCATACCGCCAGTCACAAAAACAGAGCATTGTAACCCGCACCCCTCCGCAAAAAGAACGGGGGTCGGGGCGACGCTATCAGTCGGGGTCTTCTAGACCGAAGACGGATCTGTGGACCATTATTTTCTCAAAGAGGACCTCGATTAAGCGGTCCTGACGCCAAAATCGTCAGGCCCCTGAGGGCAGCAAGACATTGCGTCTCTTTGCCATACTCCCGGCATCCCTGCAGGCGCTACTTCATCGAAGCTGGTTTGCGCTCTGCCGGATGCGCTTTTATACTTTCTGGTGCTTACCCCGCCCGTGACGTATCGCTACTCCATTTGGGCTGATTTGACACGTGCTTCAGACCTGAGGCTGAGGCCGGTACAGCGCACTAAGGTGCCCTCATGGGACCTGGCTGTGGTTCTGGAGGGCTTATGCAATGTCCAAATACTTTGAACCCATAGAAGTTTCGGTCAAGTTGGTCACACTCAAGACCATCTTTCTCCTCGCTGTTTCCTCACTAAAAAGGATCGGGGATGTTCCCAAAGCGACTTCGACGCAGCGTCTCGTTCCCTCGGGGAACCATGGTTACATACGTAACCTAGAGACGATCTCCTATTACACATCCAGTTTTACAATTGTTTAACCTTAAAGAAAGTTCTTCCATATAAATGTTAAAAAGAAGAGGAGACAGTATTCCACCTTGACGAACCCCATTCATCATATAAAAAGGTGCTGATACACTCCCACCCCATCTTACTCGCATTGATTGATGAATATACCAGTAATGTAAAATACTTATCAAGTAAAGGGGAACCCCTCTTTCTTGTAATTTTATACACCGGTTAGTATGATTTATTCGATCAAACACCTTAGAAGCATCTAAAAACACAGAAATACTGTAGAATTTTGCTTATTACATTTACTAATCACTTGCTTTAATAAATATATACACAGATCAGTGCCATGATTACTTTTAAAACCAAACTGATTATCCTTAGTTATCAAATATTCTTTGAGCCTATCCATAAGAACATGCTCAAATACTTTTGAAATTATACTTGTCATGAATTCTGTCCATAGACTTCCATCCGACTGCCACAAGAGGTCGCCTCTTCATCATATTGACTCTCACACCACACAGACTGTTACATGTCACTCCGGACTACATTTCCCATCATCCATTGCACTGATTGCGCACAGCTGTAACCAATCACACGCTCACCTGAAAGCTATTACACACATTATATAACACCCACTCAGATCCTGCTCAAGTCACCGAGTATTGTTCTGCGTTTATCACTCTCCTAGTGTTAGCTGCTTTACCAAGCCATTCCACGTTTCTGTTTAGTCTCTAGTATTGTTCTGCGTTTATCACTCACCTAGTGGTAGCTGCTTTATGGAGCCTAGTTTCTAGTTCTAGTTTAGTCTAGTCATTTCTTGTTGCCTTGTTTCCTGTTTCCTTATTCCTGCCTGTGAATCTTGGATTAACCCTTGTCTCGCCGCTCGGACTCTGTCTGTACCTCGTCTGGACTATTGCTCATGTTTCTGGATTACTCCTCTTGTCAAGCCCTCTGGGTTCTGTTCGCCGATCGATGACCCACGCCAGCCCTAAGAATACTCTTTGTCTTGTCTTATACATATCTGTTTGCTGATGCTCGACCCTGCCCTGACATATGACCATGTCTATGAATAAAGCTTTGCGTATGGATCCACATGTCTCATGTCTCGTTCGCCCTGTTACAGTACTAGCCAATGCAATTGGCCTATAGTTTTCTATACTAGATATTTTACCTGTTTTATCTTTGATTACTGGCACTAATAACACAGATAGCATAG